GAGTGACCTGATTTAAGTCTCAAGTGGAATGTGAGGACTAGTGCATGCAAACTGGAGTGGAGAGATAGATAAGCACTTGGAGGACGAATAAAAAATCCCCTTGCGAACTACAAATGACCTCATTTCCTTTCCTGCCTCTTTTTCCTCTGTACGCGATCGACAGGAAAATTTTCTGTTCCCCCCGCCTCACGAGTAACCGGATCTCATGGAATGGAATAAAGTATTAAAAAAAATATATATATATATGTTGGTGCATATGTTAGTTAGTCGCGGTTAGTGCATATGCACTAACGCCTTCTCATCGATATTTTGGATCTAGAAAGGTAAAACCTCGATTCCATGGGACCCCACCTTATGAAGTCGTGGAACGAAGGAGACCTAGGCCATCCATGTTGACGTCATCGACCGGGGCAAAAAGCGGGAAGGACCGTCCATAGACGAGGCAGATAAGAGGGAGGATGAACAAGATTCCCCAGATCCGTACTCTGTCGCCTGTGGAGGACCAGACAGTGCGAAGTGAGAGCGACCCCGGTTCAAACCTCATTTTATCGATCAAGGTTCAGCCATCCCTCCGAGGATCCCGGTGCAGTCCTCCATTCGACCTTCCCATTCCTCGCCTCTCGCCCGTGCTAGCTCCCTCTCCACATTTCCACCATTTGTACCATGAACGACTGTCACGAGGCGGGCCTGCCCCAATCCACGTGAGTTCCCCTTTGCCCAAATTGCTCTCGTAACCGCCGCAATGCCTGGGGTTTCTAATCCTACGCATAATAATGGAGAGAGGGCGTGGAAAGAAACCATGTCATGGGACCTGCCGACAAATCCGGTTTTTATCTCTACGTAAGTATCGCATTACCGAGAGACCCTTGTGTTGCAGCTCCCAAGCTCTGACCCAGATAGCTCCCAAATAGGGCTGTGTCGATTATCGCATCAGCAATATGTCTGCATATCGCGATATTTTAATTTGGGAAATAATATATATATATAAGTATTTTTTTTTACTCCTTTTTTGTCACTGGGGAGGAGAAACAGAGCACGCGAACCGCGCCATTAACTGTAACGGCGCAGGACAATGTAAGGATTGACTGTCGGCCTTGACAAAATCCGATGAGATGAGGGAGGGAGTTATCGGATCATCTGAGGACCGCGATCCTCCCCGATTCTTCCTTTTCCTGGAAAATTTCCTTGAGGGGAACTGATGGAAATCCGCACTCAGACCTCACGCTCGTGGAAAGTCCGTAATGCGGAATGCGTTGAGAATTTATTCTCGCAGCGAATGCGATACATTGAAATGAAAAAGTAGCTGCACTGAGAGGAAGAAAAATTCGAGTTTCTGGGAATACGACCAGTCTCTCGCATCTTGCGACCTCAACTTGATTGCGATCGATTTGATCGAGTCTCGATCAAATCGATCTAAACAGACATCATTCGCTGCAGCTTCTCCCCGTGTGAGACGAAGCCAGTAGCCGAGGAAAATCGGTTCCCAGGCTTTAAGCGCTCGAATTACTTTCATCACTTTCTATCATCCAGACGGACCTGCAGAAGCCGCAGGACGAAGTCACTGACATTAATTTCGTTCCATCTTTCATTAATAAGGCGGCGAAATGGGGATCGAATTTGCGACTCTTTCCAAGAAATATACTTTTTCACAAACGAACATCGTCCATGCTTTCCGACAGAGATCGTCGATCCTCTCTCCCAGCTTTGAACGACGAACTACCGCGATGTCTTGCACTCAAGATGAAGTCAGAATAAATCCCATAGAAAGAGGTTTTGTACTGAAATAAATGCGTCATTTGATACCCCCCCCCCGGAATTGAACCCAAGCGACGTTGCGATATCGGGCGATATCGATTCTTTTAAAGTCCTTATCGCCCAGCCCTACTCCCAAATGATTTTCCTTGGAATCTGGAATCATGTTGTGATAGATCAAGGAATTCGTGAGTGATTTCTTCAAGGTTGTATTTATTTCCACTATTTCCATCGAGAGAAAATCATATTCAAGTGAAAACAGTATTGCTCGCCCTCTAGTAGAGCCCCCTGGGGTTGGAAGATGTGTCTGAGATGAAACCAAAGGGAGCACTCGAGATTGGATATTGGCCCACTCGAGATTGGATGTTGGCCCACTCGAGATTGGATGTTGGCGCACTTGAGTCTGGTCTCAACCAGACCTTTGTGCCGTACATGAGTTCCTTGTGTCCTCCGCGTTGGTGGCTTTTACGAGAAGGCAACGGAAGCAAATATTAAAATGATATGGAATTTAAAAGAAGTAAAAGTTATAATTTAATGAAATTGTAAAATGAGTTAGATTGAAATTAGATGAAGTTATTGCATACATGTTAAGGGTAAATATGTTATGAATACAATGAAATGGGTAAAATGAAATGAAATATAAGTAAAAACTACGGTAATAAAATTAAAAGAATAATAGTTTTCATTTGAATTACGATCAAGTTTTTTTTTGCGGTGGAACGAGAATCAGGCCCTTCTTAGACCGACGTTTCAGTTAGGGAATCTCTCTACATCCGATTCACGTCCTGTACCATGCATGAGAAATCACTTCCCCATCACGCGATCGGGGGTCAGTATGTAAAGAATCAGATGTGAAGGTTTGGAAGCCAGCTAGAGGAGGGGAGCGGTGTCGCCGGATGGTCGATTTGCATCCACACCGGGTTCTATTGCAGCTATGATTGAAGTGGGGGGGGGGGGGGGGGATTGGAGCCAGTTCTATGTTTCATTTGTTGAATTCAGTTAGTGTTGATATGGTAATTGAGACTCTTTGAGTCGGTCGATTATCGAGAAAATATGCAGGAGCTTAAAACCTGGCGTCGAAGGGAAGCGATTGTCAGAAACGATTTTTATTCACTTACTGTGGTATTTACCATGATGTCCTCGAGCTTACTGGCATTCGGCAGCGGAATCGCTGACGGAGGCAACGACACGCGGGGAGGAAAGAGAAACTATGAAGACACGGCTCGCTGATTTGCCCCGCCCGAGTGTCAGGCCGATAAGGAACGTGGGAACGACGTCACTGTCCCAGATGCAGGAAGTCTCAGAAGTGCGTGCTGGCACAGCGAGGATTATAAATAGTGTATACGCTCAATGGGGATGGCCTTAGAGCGGCCGTTCACTGAATTTGGAGTACCATAGAGCGTGCATAAACTCGATAGGGAGGACCCATCCATCCCCCTTCGACTGTGGTTCCCCAATAGCTGCAGGGCTGTTGGGTTGATCTCGTGTATATATAGACGATCGTGTGGCTGACAGACTCTACGATGACGCTAGAGATCGACTATCGCAACACAATTACACGCAGCATTACCCACTTTCCCCCCCCCTTTTTTTTTTACCAGATAATTGACTCCCGACTGTACCTCCACGAGTACCTGCACTTTTTCATGTTCCATAATTTATCCCAGGCTCACGTGCAAAAGTTTATTTTTCGCGGATTAACTTCTGATCTCTTTGCTTAAAACCGGTGGTATAAGTTACCGTATTGTTAGCCATTGTTCTACAATTTACAAGTTGCAAATACTTGCAAGGGTCGTGTCTTCTCGTTTAACTCTTCCAGATGGTCCTGCAGCCCCTTCCTACGACCACGACACGACCCTTGTAATAACTTGTTACTTGTGGAACTACTAAATTCCTATGAATCGGCCCCTGGTGGGGATAATATAATTCAATACGAGTGACTCGTAAATGAACCCATGGGGTATTTGCAAAAGGATTAAAAGCCGGATTTAATGGCATGTCTGTCGGCCGCACAGTGACTGAGAAAGGACTGCAGGAGTTGAACTTCCATAAATAATTCGATATTCCAATTTCATCAATAATTCAGTCCACAACGAAAGCATTGGCTGTCACGTTGGCGTTCCTGAGCAAATAGGGACTGGAAGACAAATTAAGGTGATTTCCGCAATGCTTTCCGTACCTTTTTTTAGCATCACAAGGTGAAGAAGCTTGCGCGTGGAAGAACTGTGGGGTGAAACCGGTAACATCGCCACAAAGGCGAAGCTCCAGCTCAATACGAGCTTGGCCTTTAAATAAAAACTCTTTTAAGTGGAGAGAATGAATCAAGTTGCAAAGACATCCCCTTATTAGGAGGTTGCTTCAGAGGCCTTCTAGGTTCTCTACAAGATTTACGGATTTACGGAACGAAATTTGTCTTCAAGGTGACGCCAATTTTCGTCGGTCACTGTAAGGTCTGATTGGAATTTAAATTTACATTTTTATTTAAGAAAATATGGAAAACAAACGTGGACTGGGACGGACATGCACAGGAATGAATGCCACAAGCGGCAACACAGAGTAGGGGAAAGGGAAAGCTCATCGGACATCCGCGACGGCATTGCCCTACCTTCCCGCACTTCTTGTCATTTTGTATGCCGTTTCCACGCGCCTGAGGGAAGGTGGTGACAACTTCCATGCCATTCCGGCCTGAGGCCCTCCATCGGGCCAGAGCCGATGTAGCGGGCGCTATTGAGGTGCACAAGTCCCTAAATCTCACATTGAGCACAGAGTGGCCTTTTTCAGCCCTGGGAGAGCAGATATTCCTCGAAAGCAGCCGGGTGGACTGTCGGCCCAGAAGAATACCGTCTGCCGCCGGTCGGATTCGAACCTGGACCCGCCGCTTAGACCTAGACCTTATCCACTGAGTCACTGTGACGCGGTCGCTCACAGTAAGGTTTTAGTCGCAAGTGATTCACGAATCAAATTATTTTAATCGCTTGTTTCTAAGAGTCTCCGGAATGACCTCAGTATTCTGTTTTTTTATTTTATTTTTTTATTTTTTTATTTTTTTTTACTTCAGATACGTCTTTAATGTTGGAGGGAGTCCCTGTTTTGCGGGAATCGTGGCTGGAAACGTGGTTCACGATGGTTTGGCCGCGATGATGAAAGGAAATGAGGAATCGTGGGAATTAGAGGCGATTTAACATGCAAACGCCCGAAAGTCTTAGCTGCCAAGCGATAGGAACTTTGAGAGTTTGAGAGTCCCACGAATGCTGTACTTAGTACACAAGTACATATTGGGATTTGGGATGCAGGGTTAATTTAAAAAATCCAACCTTGAAGTTATATGCCCTGGTGGCACACATTTTGGTGGATCCGGTAGATCTGCAGCCAGCGCGGCCCATTTTATCCTGGGCGACGGCCGAGCCAGTATGAGCTTTCCTTAGGTGTGGCATCATCATGCAAGCATGAGGTTGAGGACCTGGCAGGTGAGGCGCAAGGCCACAACTGTCTATTGCACCGGGTGCAGGAGGTGATCCTCTGATCCATGGGGCACCACGGCCGTTGGACTGTCGAGAGTCTCATCCGCCCTTTATCGGTGAAGTGCCCAGCACCGTCTTAGGCAAGCTGCTCGATGTTCCCATGTCTCCCATTCAGGTTTTGACCTGGATGACGCTGCTTAACTTGGTGATCGGAGGAGCTCCGATGCAAGCGCTGCGCCACGTATAGTTCGTTTGCCCGACGCGCAAACAAACTCGCTAGTAAGTATATAAACACCATAAATAAGTTTTTTTTATTTTATATTATTTTAGGGACGAGGTATGGGTGAAGAGGGAGAAGCCGCCGGGAGGCTTGTCGCATCTGTCGGCGAGGAATCCTCTGGAAATTACCTATTCCGGCGTCCATTACTGGGCCCATGATGGACGGAGAGGTACCAAGAGTCCTTAGATTCTGTAGATTGAGAGGGGAAGCGAACACTCCTAACGGGAATGCTGTGACGTAGGGATGAAGGAGATCCTGAAAGGTCTAGATGGGCGGATGAAGCCAGGGGAGCTGACGGCCATCATGGGACCCAGCGGGGCGGGGAAGACCAGCCTCATGAACGTTCTCGCCGGTTATAGGTCGCCTTCTCAATGCCATACTCCTCCCTCCAAACGCGTTTCCTGACTAGCTTCATCATCACTAATGCAGTTAATCATCATATTTATGCATACAGAGCATGTTAGTACTTTTGATTGTCTTAGTGCAAAGTCAGATGCGTCACTGTCGTTTGATGAGGGTGAATTTGCATTTATATGTTCATCAACTTTCCCGTAATATTAATCTCCCAGTAAGTATTTATCTCTTGAGTACCTCGCAGTGTTTTTATACAAACTTTTTAATCAATTAATGTTGATGTTGTCCTTGCATTAGATCACTCTTATCGGTATATTCGGAAGCCCCATTCCATGGACTGCATCGCAGTTCTGTTCCTTACAGTTTTCTGTTTTATGACAGAATGAGTACATTCAAAATAGAAACCAACTAACTTTTTTCTACATATTTACCTTATGACATATATTAACCATATCAGTACACAATGATGAGCACAAAACGAAATAGACAATGGAAAAGTGTTCCTGACCATTAATGCCCTCCATCCTCTCCAATTATCAGCACCAGAGTTGAAGACGTTCTGATTCCCTCAACCTTTTCTTTTGAATCACTTGGATGTTCACATATGCCCACAGATTGAAGAATGTGACAGGAAAGGTGGAGGTGAACGGGCGCGAGAGGGACCTGCACGTGTTTCGCCACCTGAGCACGTACATCCCCCAGCAGGACCACGTGATCCCCACCCTCACGGTCATGGAGTCCATGCTTGTCGCTGCCAGCCTCAAACTTCCGAGCTCTGTGTCTTATAAAGGCAAACTTGCAGCTGTATGACTGCCATCCTCCTTTTTATTATTCATGCCTAATTAATTTTGATTACGTTTCCTGGCCAGAAAAGAGAATGCAGTACTTTTGAATATGCTTTCATGGTTAAAATTAATTTTTTGAGTGACCCTGATCTGAATTTCCTGAGAATGAAATTGAAGTTATCTAACTGCAGGTTGAAGAGATTCTGCAGCTTCTGGGGATCCAGCACTGTGCGAAGACAAAAGCTTGGCATCTGTCAGGTGGAGAGAAGAAACGTCTCTGCATCGCCATGGAGCTCGTCAATAACCCCCCAGTCCTGTTCCTTGATGAACCCACCAGGTAGGCAAATGCGTTCATGCATTTAGATCATCTTGCTCGTTGTCATGTGCTGAAAGGGAAGTTCTGTGACATTATATTGCTACGTGACTTTGTTATTTTGACATTGGAACAGTGTGTGTGTATTCCTTTCAAATCTGGTGATTCTCTTGACATTTTACTTTTTCTTGATGAGTCTTATGTTTGTCCTGGTCTCTTTTTCTCAAAACCGTCACGAAGAATAAGACCATGAAATGAAAAGGTAATCAAACCCTAGGACACGTCTATCAAAACATTGGCGTTACTAGTTTCGGCATACTAGGTCAATGCATTTCTCTTTCTTAGAAGTGATTTGAAACGAAGACATTGCTTTTCGATGTTCCTAACTACTGAATGACTTTAAATAATTTTTAAAAACTCGTTACTCATGGTGGCTAATGATTGATGATGCAGCAAACTGGACAGTTTCAATTGCCTGCAATGTGTGTCCCTATTGAGGATGTTGGCCCACGAGGGCCGAACTGTGATCTGCACCATTCACCACCCCAGCGTAAAGATCCTGGAGATGTTCGATCATCTGATCATCCTGAACGAAGGTCGGTGCCTTTACCATGGCACCATCTCCTCAATGGTGCCATATCTCCGACAGTTTGGCCTCCACTGTCCGCCCTATCACAATCCAGCAGATTTTGGTACGTATCTCATATGGCGGGGGACGTGAGAAGTATATGTTTTTCAGCAGGAGTTGATTGAATGGAATAGTTGTTTGGTTTACATCTAAGAATGTATTGTTTCCTACAAGCTTGGAGCTTGTCCTGGTGATTAAAATCATCTTGTGGCTTAACGAAAGGAATTTTTTAATTTCTAATATTGGGTTGGCCAGAAAGTTCTTGCAGTATTCGCCTTTTCTTATTAGAAAGCCACTCGAATTTTCTAGAATTTTCCCGCTTCGCATATAAATAGTCTCCGTTCTTGCGTGAAGGTTCAGTGTATTTTCGATCCCTTACCGCCAAGTATGATCCTGAAGTTCAACCTTGAACGTGACTACCTCCGAACCTGCCTTCTTACGAGTTCCGTCAGAAGGCAGCCGACGCCCATCGCCGTCTGTGCCAGGCGTTTGGGGAAGGAGTCATCAGCGAGAAGACGTGCTTCGATTGGTTCGCTCGCTTCGAGTCCGGAAACTATTGTGTCGAAGACAAGCCGAGGTCGGGACGGCCGTCGGAGTTCGACGATGGGGCGCTATTACAAATCGTGGAAGCCGATCCCCGCATGACCACTCGCGACATGGCCGCCGTCCTCGGGTGCTCCCATTCCACCATCGGACACCGCCTGTCTACGATAGGGAAGATCTCGAAGATCGGGTGTTAGATACCCCATGCTTTGACACAGAAGGACCTCGACCAGCGTTCCGACGCCTTTGCACTTCTCTCCCGCCGACGGCGCTTCGACTGGCTCGACGACGTTGTCACGGGAGTTGAGAAGTGGGTGATGTACACGAACCATACCCGCAAGCGTCAGTGGATAGACGCCGATGAAGAGCCGCAGCCGGAGCCGAAAGGTGACCTGCACCTCCAGAAGGTGATGCTCTCCGTATGGTGGGACGTGAAAGGTTTGATGTTCGAGCTGCTTCCTCCCGGCACCACCATCACGGCGGCTTACTACTGCGACCGGCTGGAGAGATCGAGCCAGAAACTCTCAACGGCTCGGCCGGGACGTGACAAGGTGCTGTTCCTCGAAGACGATGCCAGGCCACATACTGCAAAGATGTCCCAGCTCAAACTCCTCGCCCTCGGATGGGAGATTTTGCCGCATCTACCGTACTCCCCGGACCTTGCTCCGTCGGACTACTACCTTTTCCGGGCCCTGCAGATCCTCTTCAAATAAAAAATTTGAACGACCAGAAAGACCTCGAGTGCTACTAGCGACAGTTCTTTGAGTCTCAGTCCCCATCGTTATACCACGGCGGAATCCATTCCCTGGCTGGAAGGTGGAGACATGTAGTGAATCACATGGTGCTTACACTGTTGACTGATATTGTATAGTTGCTGAATAAAATTTTTTTCCTCAAATATTGTCAGAAACTGCAAGAATTTTCCGGCCAGCCCAATAGGTGAATATATTCATTTAATGAAACATTTTTTGACTCATTGTTTCTAAGATTAGTGATTGCCATGGCTTCATCAATCGGTTCATGGATAGTACATGACTCTCATGATTTATGGAAAATGAAGGTGATACTTTAATTCCAAACATCTCTGCTCTTGTAGGATCTGTTTTCCTTATCAGGTGCCTTGGTTAATATGCTCCAAAAGGGATTTTTTAATATCACATAAGAATAGTTTTTTCAAAAATAAAATCTTACTTTTTATATGTTACTTGGGTGATCCGCTGCAGTGATGGATGTGGCCTTCGGTTACAACGGACGAGACGCCATGAACGCCTTGTTCGCCGCGGCCAAAGCGGAAGCCACAACACCTTCCGAGCTGGAGGGTCCTGACCCCCAGACTCCCCCGTGCCTTGAGGGCAAGCCTCCACCTTCTTTCTCTGTGTCTGGTATGCATTCCTCCAGATATCCACGATTTTTTAAGCAATAAAAAGGCAAAAAGATGTATAGTGATAGGTTGAACAAAATAAATGGCAATGTTGCATTTATTTCCTTGACTCATTGTTGATGGAAATCTACAGAAGCATTTTATCTTTGAAGCCTATTTCATGATAGGAAAATTCAATCAAGGAATGATGTTTTTATAAGTTTTTGATCTTTGTCCAAAAAGCTTTTGAAAAAAATGAGATGCCTTGAAAGCCGGGGAAATCCATGAGGCATGGACTCCCCTGATGGACATCTCACTTATGTGAGATGAGTGGCCCTATATTCAGTGGGAGGAACTGGACATATTGCAAAAGATCCATGGATTTCCAGGGGCAACAGTTTTTTCAACCTCTAAAAATGAATTTAGAAATATACAATGCATTAAAATTGAAATTCATGGAAATTTAATGAATAAACTCTTCTTTCTGAACTTTTGATATGTGTACTTACTCAAATTGTCTCAGACTTTTCCCCTTCTAGTATAGACTGTAGAGTGACTTCCTTTCCATAGTGTTTATAATTCCAGATTAATTTTAATTAAATTTGGATGGTTTCGCTCATTTCATGTCTAGAGTGTCTCCGAAATTTCTTGTCCAATTTGCGGTCAGTGTTTCCTGAAAGTTCTAATCTGGTTCTCCATCAGGATTGTGGACAAAGTTGAAGGAATCTGTCAGACGGGCTGAAACGAAGCCGCCGTCCACTCCCACCGCCGTGGCGGAGTATGCCGTGTCCTTCACGATGCAGGTCAAGACTTTGTATCTGCGGTTCAACAAGACCAACTCCAGGGACTGGGTAAGATGTTTGGCTGTTTTGAAAATCTGACAGAATCTGAGAGGGATTAACAACTAATCTATTGGTTATTTTGAATTGAAGCCAGTTTATTTCTTCAGACCAGCAGGTACGTTTAATGTGTTTATATTAACATTGATTTCAATCATATATAAAAGGTCTGACACCAGCCAGTCACAGTGCATGACAATGCCATCGGCATGAGACTTCGACATTATCAGCATCTGTAGAAAATATTTGCGGGTGCAATAGGATGCATTGGTGCTTGATGTTCAGCAAACATGTTAGATGATGACAGACTTAATTTTACAAAAGGAGGTTTGATTCAATTTGAAATTTGATTTGCTTGAAATATATTGATATAATTGAGAATTGAAACCAGAAACATTTCATTTTGAAGAAACATGATATTGTCTGGCATAATGAGTTTCCTGAGAGAGCGCCTCTGTCAGATGCAAGTCACGAATCGAATGCTTGCGATAATTACAGGCTGCCGTGTAGTGATATGCTCACATTTGCAGATTCTCATGCATATTCGATTGGGAGCTCACATCTTGGTTGCTCTGTTCATGGGAATACTCTTCTTCAAACTGGGTGAAAATGCCACCAACGTGTACTACAATGTCGGCTCACTCTTCTTCAGCGTCCTTTTCGTCATCTATGGAGCCATAATGCCGACCGTGATAACATGTGAGTCTCCGCTTGTCTTCATCCAGAGGTCCAGTTTAATAGAGCCAAGCTGCTGAACTCATTTGAACCATATATCACGTCCAGGCGTTAGTTCTTTGGTTTTTTTTTCCTTTACAAGGATTATCATATATTAAATTAGAGGCGCATGCAAGTACTTTTTTAAATATTAATCATGAGATGAAATTATGACTGGTATTGAACATAATGTACCTTTTTTTCTCAACAAGACGTCAACTGCAAAAATGAAGAAAGGGAATGAATACGGATGATAGTGTTTTTTTTTTCATTTACTCACTCATAAGATTTTCAAGTATTTTTTTTTTATCTAAGCACAAGCCTTAAACTATGCAAATTTTTTTATCTGAGCCACTTGAAAAAGTTTGAGTTAGGAAAGGGGTATTGTTAGCACCAAGTTTCCCCCTTTCAGCATGGTTAGGCATTAGAGTCAGTCACTCTGTCAGTGAGGATTGTCTTTATTTTAGACTAGCGAGTTTAGTTGACCTTAGGGCGAAGAAACTCGCGATGTTCGCGCCTCCGGCGCTCTATTATCCAAAATAAAACTATTTCATTTGAAATATTAAAATATTAATCAACATGAGGAACCATGGCAGGGTTTTTATTGATATTAAAACTTCGATGATGTCTTGTGTGTCTCACTTGAAATCTAACTAAATTAATTTGACAAAATGTTTCCACTGTGGGATATACTTGGGTAGTATCTTCTTTCATTGGACCATATAATTGAGTAGTGAGACTTATTGTTGCGATATATACTTTACTGAGGCCAAAATCAATTTTTTTTTAGATAGATATGCCCAAATTTTGACATTTCCAAACTCAATGTATATGCTGAAAACTCAAATAGAAGGGACATAAATTTTTATAAAGTGAATTTCCCTCCTAGTGAAGGAGCTCTTGGTTAAGCTTTTGCATAACTCCACACGGGGAATGTTCAGCGAGATTAATTTTCAGCATTTTCAGATTATTTTGTTGTTTGTTCCTCATGAAATTTCTTAAGATGATATTTCAATGAGATAGAGTTTTAATTCTATCCCATAGAGTTAAGCCTTTACTTCTTAAGGTTCTATGCTTGACTGAAATTGTTAAGAATTACTACAGTGAAATCAGAGGTCATATGCGAACTTTTTGTTGCTTATGTTGTTTCAGTTCATCAAAATAGTAACGTTCTAATACAATGGTCAACATTTTTCATTCACCATTCCACTTTGCCCCGGATACGCCAAGTTTTTTGCCAAGGATTTTGCCAAGTGGAATTGATTTAGATGATTTCAGAAAAATGCTTCAAATTGCCGTTCCTTTTGTCCCATGTCAAATTCACAAGGCATACTTCCTAACAACACATCAAAGTCTACGATGCTGCATTGTGAATTGTTTGCGACACTATGAGACGGACCTATTAACGGAAAACTGCTCTGCCGTTCCACTTTGCCCGGTCTTCCCTGTATTAGATGCAGCAAAAATGTAAAACTCTTTTGTGGTGAAAGGTCCGAGGAATATGTGAGGAGTATGTGGTAATAAGATTGTGCCAGTGTCAATCAAATATTCAGTGCGCTGGTGCGTTGTCGTGAAGGTGGGTGAACTTTTTGTCTGCCCACATCCGTGATCGTTCTCGCAGGTGTTTGATGCGCAAAAATTTCCCTTAAGGGGCATACCTTTTGTGCTTGTGACTTTAGATCCATTGGAATTCAATGTGCTGCAGAAAGAGACGCTGAACAAGTGGTACTCCCTGAAGGCATACCATATGGCCAAGATGCTGTCCGACATCCCCTTCGTCGTGAGACCTCAGCTTTCCCTATCCACTTTCAAGCCCTGCACCTACTCATTCCTGTGTGATGTATCTGCAGGGCCTTTGTACTTCCGTGTACCTGGTGATCTCCTATTTTATGACTGCTCAGCCAATGGACGCTGACAGGTTTTTGAGGTATCTTGTCCTCACCGTGTATGTTGCCCTCATCACTCAGACTCTCGGATTCATGATTGGGACGATCTTCCCCATCCAGGTCAACCTCCATCTAATCTTTGTTTTAAATCTTTTTTCTTCACTTGAACTTATGAAGCTCTCTTTAGCTTTTTTGATCAAGCAAAGGTGATGGGCACCAAGTGATGGTGGAATATTCATTCAGTCACAGATCACCTGTGATCGGCTGTTCGTGCATGTTTCAGCATAAAATGATGCGGTATTAGGAAGCGATGACTGGGGCGGGTGAAAAAGTAGCCAGCCATTGAACTGTGTCTTCCCCTCTTCACAGCAGAACAGAAACAAAGGCGCCTGTAGCAGTTGACCTTGCAACTTTTTTGTCGGTCATGGTTGATTCTAATGGCCCTGGCGGCCATGCCATGGCACGTATTACAATGAACCTATTGACTATTTTAAAGAGGAAGGAACAAGCTTTAATTTTTCTGTTTTTCGAGCCTGTGGCTTCCATAGTTTTTGAGTTATGTGCAATTAAAAATTGGGGCGGAATTTTTTGGCCCACCCTGTAGAAAATAGGAAAGGCATCCTTTGGACGTCGCTGCAATTGGTGCTTTGAGTGAGCAATCATTGAAATGACAGTGAAAGCTGAAGTTCAATGTATCATGGTCAGCTGGAAGAAATGTATTCAAGAGACAAAAACCGTCAAAAATGGTATCTTGTCTTAAGTTAAAAGTCGGTCTCTGTGGTCCGAAAAATGGACAATTCAACCTGATGGTTGCGAGAAGGTGCATATCAATGTTGATAAGCTTTCAGCTCAAGTAGCTTCAGCCTTTTGGAGGATGAAGACGAACTCAATCAGCCTCATCCATGGACAAATTGCGGTTAATCACATCATGAAGAATCAGCTGCAGTTCGCTAAATTGTGCATGCATTACCTGGGGAGAATTAGGAATGACAACCACATTCTAATCGTGTATTAAGATTACAAAATGAAGGTTTCCTTCGAATCATTTGAATTAAGTCATTACCCATGGATCCATTACCAATGGAGTCCATCCCTATAACAAAATTGTGTCCCAGTCAGAAAAATGGTTTCTTAGTGAGGAGATGTTTCATTACATCAGAGGAATTCACTGATGTCAATCGGGATACCTTTTTCCTCATTGCAGACTGCAGTTTTCATGGCCCCTACGATCCTGTTGCCTTTCCTCCTGTTTTCGGGGTTGCTGCTGAAAGTGCAAGCGATGCCTGGACACCTGCGGTGGCTCTCCCACCTGTCTTTCCTCAAGTATTACTACGAGGGGACGATGGCTTGCATCTACGGTTACAATCGTCAGGACCTCCAGTGCAACGAGCCCTACTGTCACTTCAAGGATCCTGAGATGTTCCTCCGAGAAATGGGCCTCGACGAGTACTTCTACTGGAGGGACTTCTGGGTCCTATTACTCCACAACGTCATCCTAATATTTCTTTCTTACTTTGTGCTTCGCTGGAAGCTACATCGATCCCGATGATGCTAAGCGTGCCTACTGTCTTTGGTGGGAAATTTTTCAGGGTGGCATTCAGCTGGAACTCTTCAGCTCTTAGAATTTCTGTGATGAGGATGTGTTGATGCATACAATGATCTGCATGCAATAACACGAGGTATAGCCATATGTTTTTTGTGACTGCTATTTTTCCTTGAAAAGTATGATACATGCAACGAAGGAGTAACAACTCCTCTCCTGGAAATCATGAATGGGATAATGAAAATGTTATATAACGTTGAAGTGCTTTTTCTGCATATTCACATTATGTGCATATTGTTACTTTCATGATGATTTCAATAACTTCTTCGCAGCAGTAAGATCTTAACGAAGCTTTAGTAGACTCATGAATTGACGGGTAAAGTTAAGCAGGTTCGAGTATTTATTTACTATTATCTTAATTTCATATTATCACATGTCAACCCTCAAATGCTTGATGTTTTTGCGAAAAAAAATATTTTGTTCAACGTATGTCCTAGAGCATGGAAAAAAATATAAATATATTTTCATCGTCAAATTTGTAAGTAAAATGCGCGAAAATTGTATTGTTGATTATTTGTTATAAACCATAAAAGTTGATTGAATCTAAGACAGACTGTGGCGGACACATACGTTGCCGCTGGCCCCGGCTCAGGTTAGTTGTGGGATCTGAGGTGGGTGTTTACCTCTGGCTGTTGTAGACTTCATAGTCGTAGGCAAATCCTGAGACACCGCATAGGACATGGTTCTTCTCTCCCCACTAATTGATCTTCGTGGAGACATGCTGTTTTATGTAGCTCTTCGCTTTCGAGTCGCGCATTTCTTCATCGATTGAGAGGCATTCTTCCATTCGGATGGACATGAACCGCTTATGTAGATGTTCAACCTAAGGCAGAACCTTGAAAAGACGACCGCTTCCAGGTTGTCATTGAAGTGAAGATACTGTCTCAAATGCTCGAACCAGTTCGCGTGCCTAGTGAGTTTCATCTGCTCGGCGCCTATGTTATCCGAGAAAGGGTAACATACGCTAAGTGTACAAAAAAAACGACTTCGGAATGTTGATATCAAGGAATTGCTTGACATCGGTGAATTTCATGTGGATCAGCTAGCTGGGATCAATTTCCACACTGTTTCTGGTGGTTTCCAGCACAATTATCATCAGTTATGAAATCGCGAATAAATTGATAGGGAGTCTCCAGTTCCATGATAACAGCAGGGAGTGGGTATCACTGCAAAAAGCAACAGCTTCGATTGCAATAAGATGCACGATGATGACGAGTAGGAGATTAGGAGCAGTTCCTTTCGGGAAAGCCAATCAAATACCATCCGGTCCAGTCGGGAGAGCCAATCAGGTACGTGAACCAAGCAACGTGGCCGTCAGTTACGACGGACGAGAAGTCATGAATACCTTGTTCGCCGCAGCTAAAGCGGAAGCCACCCTGTCTTCCGAACTGGAGGACCTAGCCCCCCAGACTCCCGTATGCCTTGAGGGCAAGCCTCCACCTTCCGCTATTATCCTCTATGGTATGCATTTATCCAGATCTTCACGTTTTTCTGTGGTATTAAAAAAAACTTAAGGATGGAATACTAGGCTGATCAACACGGAAAGGAACTTTCACTTCAGCTCAAATGAATCTCGTCGAAATTGTTGGTAACTTTGCAGGCATGAACTATGTTAACTTTGCGACTTACCTTAAAAATGTCAGTGGTCTTTCGTTTAAAGAATTCCGTTGGCGATACAGAGAAATTGCCGTGGTATCTACGTACCTACGTAGCAAATGTACCTACATACAGAAGGTACTTGCAGCATATACTGTATATATGCATACATCTTATGCAAAAGCTCCAGAGTCCCAGTAAACGATTTTCAGAGCTTCATCTTAAGACTTACCTGATGCCTGTTGTAAAACTAAATTATATATTCAGTATGTAAGTGAATAGTTGTCAGTTCCACCCTTGGAGAAATATTTGTTTTCGAAGAAAAATCGAAAAATAGATTTCTTTTAAAGATCGCCTGCCGTATTTTCACTGTATGTGCTACTATAAAATCCTCACGAGAGTTGCAACACTGAGGCTTCGTCGGAAAGGTTTTACTTCTGAACATTTTGGACTGTATGATGTCTAACTGAAGTGGGATGTCGCATTGTGAGATTTACATTGGTTGGAAATAGTTCCATTTCTCTAAATAAATATTGGAACAAAAATGGGCCTCATCGGCCCTCATTCTTTCCTAGTCCTTCAGAACGGACGTCAAGGTAAGTCGGTTGATGTTGGGAGGAACATGACGTAGAATGTGAATAATTTTCTCCTTTAAAATACCAACATTAATTATCACTACTAATGTTTCCCATTTGAGAATAATCTAACAAAATGTAGATTTACATTTCTGCTCTGATTATAAGGAGGTCATGTTTTCATGCAAAGGCAATTGTGATTAATAAAAAATAGATGTAGACAGGAAAGTCTCAACTCATCGTTATCAAAGATGAGAGTACAAGTTTTCTATGTATCTTTTTTTTTCTGGGCATGAATACTTTGGAAGTTTGGGGACTTGAGGATCGGTTCCAAAGAATCTAAAACGAGACTTCATGATTTTGTTAATGATTTGCAGCATATTTGTATTGGGAGAAATTGGACATTGTGTGAAATATCCCTTTCTTTTCCAAAGAAAACAATTTCCTCAGGGTCTAACAATGTCTTGATTATTGCCTTAAAATTGAAACTCAGGAAAGTATAACAATTTTACTCAAATGAACTTTTGAATTATATTCTCTGTTAAAGTTGTCTCAGGCTTTTGTCTTCTAGTACAGACTGCAGAGCGACTTTTACTTTTCATGATATTCATAATAACAGATTTATTGTAATGAAAATGAAGTGATGAACAAAATCATGTTCTTAATTTTTCTGAAATGATCTTGAACCCACAATTTCATAACCAGTCTCCGTTGAACTTTCAAATCTGATATTCAAAGTGGAGTGTGGATAAAGTTGAAGGATTCTGTCATACGGACAGAAACAAAGCTGCAGTCCAAGGAGGACGCCTTTGCTGAGTACGCTGTGTCTTTCACGATGCAGGTGAAGTGCTTGTATCTGCGGTTCAACAAGACCAACTTCAGAGACTGGGTAAGACTTTCAGCTGTTTGAAAATAAAACTGAGTTGTCTGAGCGCTGGCAGTATCTGAGAGTCATTAACAACTCAATTATTGGGTATGCTGAATTGCAAAGGCACCAATTGAGCCAGTTTTTTTTTCCAGACCTGCAGCTATGTTTAATGGGTTTATAATACCAATGATTTCAACCATCTGTTCAAGCTCTGACACCAGCCCATCACAGTGTATTACAAAGTCATCGCCATAAGGCTTCGACATGATCAGCAATTGTAGCAAGTATTTTTGGGAGCCATGCGATTGCAAAGGTGCATCATGTGAAGGAAAGAAGTTAAATGATGACTGACTCCATTTTCACTGAAAGAAGTGTAATACCTTTAACGTGGAAGTGCTCCATTATGCCAATTACTGACAGGAATTTCTTTTGGAATAAGGGTAAAGGCGTTCCACTCGTGTCTTAAAAAAGCCCTGGGTTTCATTTTGCAACACATGTGGTTAACGTCCATGAGCACACTGAAATGGGAGATATGACAATCGTCCGGGCGCACCTCAACTTGCGAAATTAAAGTCATCCAGTTGGTTTATAAATATTCTTAGACAACATATTGTGAATGCATCGTGAGTTTTGCCATGAAAATGACAGAACTGCCATGGACTTGTAAATGTTTTGCTTGCGCTGAATGACAAAAATTTCAGAGAGACTGCATTCTTTCTTGTGCAATTAAATGTGAAAAGTGAAGATTACTGCTTCATATTCTGTACTCCGATAACATTTATTCAAGTGCATGATGGTGCTTTCAAAACAATTGCATACGTTTCCCGAAAGAGTAATTGCCTCACCACCACAGAGAACAGGCATTATTTTCAGTATGCATTTTCCTACTACCTGAAAGTGATTGTTCTGATATGTATCGTAATTAATCAGTATAAAAAATGAGGTACATTTTCCTTGTATTGCATTCGCAGCAAGATCGCTAGGTAACAGCGAGCTTACTACTCCTGCTGTAAGCCTAGTTGACACAGATCCAGGAACGGTATGGGAAAGCTGCTCATCTGCTAAATTGAGCTGCATGCTTGCCGAACTCAATAGTGTAAGAAAATGACGTTGCAAATTTGCAGGTGGTATTTGAATACATGCATACCTTCATGAAGACGTATGCGCTCCTTTCTTTGTCATTTTGCCCGTAAATTATTGAATGAACCTCTCTCGGACAAAGCAAAGGACAAAGTTCGCACTGTACTGAAGGACGATTTCATGTCTACCACCTTTGAATGTCTATTTGTCAGTAATTGAGGTTATTACAAGCTTTCCATAGAAAGAGGAAAGTCCAACAACTTCCTTGCTGCTTTCTTCACACATGTATTGCTTGATCTGTCTTCAATTTCAAGAGTGAAATCATATATATTTGCCATTTAAATATTTCATGCCTGCTTAAATGCTTGCAATCATTCCAAGCTGCAGTGCACTGATATACTCTCATTTGCAGATTCTCATGTACATACGGTTTGGAACTCACATCTTGGTTGCTCTGTTTCTGGGACTGCTTTACTTCAATGTGGGTGACGATGCCACGAAAATATTCGGCAATTTCGGCTCCATTTTAGTCGGCATCCTCTTTGTCATCTATGGCTCCATGATGCCAACTGTAATAACGTGTGAGTCTCCTTGTGTCTTCGTCGTAAGAAATTTCCGTTTGCATGAAGGTAAACAGATGTAATCATTGAAATGTATCGATTTTTAGGCGTTTATTGGCCTCCTGTTCAAGGCTATATGAAATTATTGGTCATGCAACTTTTTATGGCGATGATTATGTAATCATGACTTCCATGGAACCTAAGCATTCTTTATTTTCTTCTCATTAAGTTGGAAAACAAATAGAAATAAAATAGGAAATGGATACAGCTGAAATGGTATTGTGCCATATACTTTATCATGAGATTCTCAAGTATTGTTTTTATCTGAGCTTGCCATAAACAGTGTCACCTTATAGGCTTCTGAAGTGCAAGTGTTGTACACTTTTATATACGAGATGTTTTTGGTGGTTGTGACTACAGATCCATTGGAATTCCTTGTGCTACGGAAAGAGACGCTCAACAAGTGGTATTCCCTGAAGGCATACCACGTGGCTAAGATGCTGTCCGACATCCCCTTCACCGTGAGAGACCTCAGCTTTCACTATCCCCTTTTCGAGCCCTGCATACGCTCAGTCAAAGTGTGATTTGTCCGCAGGCGCTTTGTACTTTCGTGTTCCTGGTGATCTGTTACTTCATGATTGCACAGCCGATGGACGCAAGCAGGTTTTTAAAGTCTGTTGCCCTCGGCATGCATGTGGCCTTCATCTCTCAGAGTCTTGGATTCATAGTCGGGACGCTCCTCCCTATTCAGGTCAGCCTTCATCTACAGGTTGTCCATAAAGTGACCTAACTTCACGATTTTTTTCTCGTCGCCAATTGAAATTTAACGTTGACAGTCTTAAGGAAGGCTAAATGATTCATTCCTGAAAACTAATATATATTTTTCTCCCCCTCAGGTACCTAAAAAAGTAATATTTTCACAACCGCTGAAAATGCTCAGTTTGTCGCAATGAATACACATTTTGCGGTACTTGTGTGATAGGGAAATTAATGCAAGATATTCTTTAGTGTGTTATTATTCTAAGGCGCCGGGTATCCAAATTCAAGAGCAGCCCGTATTATGGATTTCAAGGGGGGGGGAGGGAATATAAATCCCACTGCGACATCTTGGAGCATTTTCTCATTCTCCTGAGGTGATGATCGACCTTGTTTCGGGTGGTCATGAACTGTCCCTGTCCCCTGAAACTTTTTGACGAGATCATATATGACTGGGCGAGAAGGCCCTTGGGATGTCTTGTAACGGCTTTTGAACTTATTTTGTGCTTCTGCCGCAAATTGTTACTAAAAATACCACTCAATGATTTTTATTATTTAAGAAAATCAAAATTTTCAGCAGTTGTGAAAATAATTGCTTTTCAAGTACCTGAGATAAAGAAAAAGTAATATTATTAGCGTTCTGGAATAAATAGTTGTGTACTCTTGAAGACTATGTGAACGTTGAATTTCAGAGAGGGACGAGAAAGGAATCGTTATGTGAAGTTGCTTCATGGACACCCTGTGTTTGTTCGTTTGGAATCTTTTCATTATTTGGGAACTTTGGGAGCTGATTTATATTTTTTCTCATGAAGCGCTGATGAGCACAAAAGCAAGAATGCAATTTTTATTGTCATTGATGCCTATTCTGGTATGATATGTTCATGCCTGTGTAGATCAGCAGCATCTTTGCGATTATACTGTATAATGGAGTACAGGCCAACATATATTTCAACCTTCTGATACCTTACAGTCCGTTTTAAAACTAGATTGACATGGCAATGAAAACTCAAAAATAAAAAAAATTATAACTTTTGTGTTAAGTTCTATTGTGTTGACGAAGTCGGTCAGTATGGAAAAAAGGCAAATTCACCCTGGTGATTGTGACTAGGTGCAAATAAAACAATCACAGCAAGTGCACATTGGAATGCAATGATAGTGAACTTTCGGCTTGAATAGCTGCAACCTGAAAGAGGATAAATATAAACTCAATCAGCCTCATAAATTGACAAATAATGATTGACCAACATCATGAAGAAGCACCTGCAGAAGCCAAAGTCTTGGATAAATGGCCTTGAAAGTATTGGGGAAAACAATCGAATTCAAACAATACAATTTTATTACCATGGTTTATTTTGAATTATTCACGTTAGAAGGCCTTACCCAAAGGATTTTTTAAAATTATATATAGAGCCCATTCCTATAACAAAATGGTGTCCCAATCAGATAATGGTTTGCTATTGAAGGGAAGATGATTTCACAGATGTCAATCGGTGTCTTTCTCCGAATTGCAGACTGCAGCCTTCCTGAGTCCTGTAATCATAATGCCTTTCCTCCTATTCTCCGGGTTTCTGCTGAGAGTGAAGGCGATCCCTGGATACCTGCGCTGGCTTTCACACCTGTCTTTCCTCAAATACTATTTCGAGGGGACGATGGCTTCCATCTACGGTTATAATCGTCCGGACTTCCAGTGCAATGAGCCCTACTGTCACTTTAAGAAGCCATACTTCATACTGCGGGAAACAGGCCTCGACGATTACTTCTACTGGAGGAACTTCTGGGTCCTGCTTCTCTACAATGTTATCCTACGCCTTCTGGCTTACTTTGTGCTCCGGTGGAAGCTACATCGTGCCAGATAATGCCGTGCGTGCCTTCCGTGTTTCGTTGGCATTTTTCCAAGGCGTCATGCAGCTGGGACACTCCAGTTCTTAGAATTTCTGCGAAAAGGATATATAAATGCTATGTCTACATTTAATAATATAACAATTTTTTTTTTCGTGACTGCTGAGGGCTGCTGAGATGAGACCTATAAAGAAGAGCCAACACCCCTAATAGAAACCATGTATGAGATGGCCAAGGAAAGTAATTTCACTTTGAAAAGGATTCGTCAGCTACTTCATATATTGTGAATCTTACTTTTTTCATGATCATTTGAATAAGTTCTTTCCAGTAGTAAGATATTTCTAAACCTTCAATGGTTACATATCTGGATAGGAAAAGTGATGAGTTGTTTTGCTGGTAGGATATAAGGGTGTAGTTCTTCCACCGATGGAATCATGGTATTCTCCCAGATTTCGCTACATTTCTTGCTGTCAATTGTTCCGTCGATGAACATCAGCTGGCCGACCCCTTTTTTGGCTCGTGCATCCCTACTCCATCAAGCTGTGAGGGAATTATTATCTGGGTAATTTTGAAATCTGGCATCAGAAATCGACGACTGAGAATCAAAGAGGGATTACAGGCAACCGTGCAGGAATTTTAGGCCGCTATCACTTAAGACCAACGCGCCCGTTTCAACTCCAGTGTGCCCGACCGATTAGAAGCCGTGGTCACGTCAAGAGGCGAAGTCATGAAGTATTAGTGCTGATGCCCGAACTATTTTGGAACATGTGACGTTATTTTGAGAGTTAATAACTTTTCATCTGTTTGTAATATCGCGATTTGCTTTGGTCTCCAGTTAGCCCACATATCGAATTTGTCGGCCATATTTCTTTCATTACAACTGTCCAGATATTCCTGAAATGACAAGTAAAAAAGGAGCTGAAAGAGAAAAACAGACGGCCCGAATCTTTTTGGAAGAGGATGGTAATATACAGGTGTTCGTATTTCAACGCAGCATAAGAAGGTTCCTTTTTGCCGCCTGTTTGTGGAGTTCAGAGAGTGCCTTATAGCTCACTGGGTTGCATATCTGGAAGGATGACACCTATCTCTGTTGTGTTTCCCTGCAGATATGCAATTCGTTGGGCTTCATAGCTTTCGGCGAACTCAACCTACATGCGGAAAAATATTCCCTATATTGCGTTTAAATATGAACATCATATAGACGATTGTGACTGAGCGACTGAGTGCCCCTGCGAATAAGAATAGTACAAGATTTCTCTAATCTTTGGACTTTGAACCATGTGGTAATCGATAACCCTACATCTCGAGTCCTTTTTTATGCTGTAACGTCCATGTACGGGAATTTCTGGGTAAGATGGGGAGGTATTTCCTAAGAGGGATATGTTTTTTGTTTCACTTAAACAAAGGGACATGGAAAGCTTTCACTTGGTCCGAACGTTCCTGCTGAGACATAAGAAATGTCGAGTTTCAGATGCATCCCCAGGAGGCATATTTTTTATGGTGACGTTTTCAATGAATTATTTCTTTCTCCTAACGAATTGGGCAGTAACAGAAAGGTGAAACTTGGGGCAGGAGTATATGATGGATTGCTCAGTAAAGAAGAAGTTTCATTTTTTTAATTTGTCCCTTGGGGGCGGATTATGGGGACTTCCATGCTTATTTTTCGCTCTAATAAATGAGAACATATTAAAAGATCTGGAGTTAACGCTAAAAAAATGCATTAGAGTATTGATATCAATAGTAATATCGATTGCTTCCCCTCATACCACGTATTTCGACAGGGACGTACTTTAGATAAGTTTTGGCCAAATTGATAACGCAATTATTGAGAGCTAAAATTTTGTACGCAAGTGCTTTTCTCGATACTAAAAAATGACTGGTAAACGATTCAAGCGGGTATAGATGGCAAAATTACCAAATATTGGATTGCTGGATTGCTTACTACAAATGAGGATGCACTTAGAGGGTGCGTGGTCTGAGGGGATTGACATAGCAGATATATATCTAATCCTGTGACAGACGCTCAGGCCCACTCCAATCTTGACCTGTTTGCCATCCAGGATCTATTGTGCCTACTTCACCAGGAATCCTGTTTTCTAGGCGTGAGGCGCGAGGCCATTCCACCTATGCCTTTCTTGGCCATGGGCTAGGTGGAAAGACTGGAGGTGGAAAGTTGACGTGTACTGGTAAGCCTGTGGATGAGAATGGCTTCATATGCAATATTTTTGTGGCAGGGAAACAGATTGGAAGATACTTAGACACTGTAATTGTGAATGGCTATGGTGAATCTTTTAACGTATGCCTAGGTTAATGATATTTCTATGCACACAATTCCTTTAACAAAACAGATAGTTATGAGCTGCATTTACGGAATGAGGTATTTTCTCAGTGAAAAATGTTTGTAACCCCAGAAAGAGTTTGAAAAAGGGACTTCCTTAGAGTCCTTGTGCCCAAATATACAAATGAATATTACGATGAGACTTCCCGATTCTTCGGCGTTTTAACGCTCAAATAATGAGCTAGTGTGCTATTATATGATCTTGCTCATATTTTATGCTACATATGGTCAGCAATTATATATATTGTGAAATACAGGGTGTCTCAAAAATGTATACACACTTTAATAATAATAAAATATATGTTCAGTAATTGAGAGAGGTGCATTGGTTCAGTGTGTGGAGAAGCAAGGGTTTGAATTGTAGGGGTCAATACCACAAATGTTCAAATTGTTCATCGTTAGCATCCAGACACTGTTGGCAGCAGTGGGCAACAGTGCAACAAACTTGTGGACAGCAGCACAAGACCCCTTAATTTTATGTGATCGTGTGAATGCTTGCCTTGCAACAACAGCATTTTCCAGCAGAATATACAATTTTCAATTATTGCATCACCTACATCTGAGTTTCTTGTTCATTCTAGTAACAGAAGCGCTCTTTGAGTTGTCAAGGTTTAAAGGATTGTTAGCAGGACCCGGAACCTATATACGACCTTTATTTGTGAAGATGCTCTATTAATGGGCTGGGCCAAACATTTCGCACGTCTTTGTGAGAGAAGAGTGTTGACTGACACATCCCCTTCCTTCTTCCACTAGAGTGGGAAGGGTTCTTGGGTATATTTTATATACAATCATTTGATGCAAGTATACATATGTAGGAAAAAGTTTCAGCTTCCACTATAATAAAAAAAAATAAATCACTGCGGGAAGAACCTAAAGAATCCCATTTCTCCTTCATCTGTTTTGCACCAAGTATCCCAGCCCTTGGGGATGTATTCGATGCCACATGTATCTCTTATTCATCCACCAAGTTTCAAGGGAATATGTATTGATCCCTCGGTTATTTGGAATTCCTTCTCGATAGCTCAATATGAAATTTTCCCACAGATCGTAAGGGAATTCTCAAGGAGTAAAATTGGCCTTGTCCTCATTTCCAAAGCCGGGGCACGTTTCATTGTGTCAGATGTAAGTTGGAAGACACATCGGCATCCACACTGGAGGACGACCGCCTGTGGCACAGCTCAGCAGCCATTGGTCCAATCACACTAGGTAAAATGCAAGGATAAAGTGTTACAACAATTCATGTGTGTTAAGTGTAATATATGAATATGAAAGTGATCGTACAGAGAGAATACCGACGTTACTACGACGTGTTCGCATGTCATGCCCAGTGTCCTAATTCCGCAGAGTTCGAACGCGAGTGGGTGTCGCATTCCGTACCGAACCTGTCTCCCGCCGCTTTGCCGCTAACTTCTCTATGGCAGGTTTTGCTGGTACTTTCACATCGGGATACTTCTCCACGAATTTTTTGCAACACATTTTGTAAGATTACCTGTCAGTGTAACCTTCAACAATAAATATTCTCTGCTGTAAGGAAAACTGCATTGCTCACAAAGGTGACTGCTTCCTCCTCGTCGAGAATCACGAACGTGTACCGTTCTGGAAGCTTTTGCAGCTTGACTAACCTCAATCACTCAGCCTATTGCCACATGAGCCATGGCAGCATGAGTCTTTAACCATATCCTGCGGTACCACGACAAACTATCGCAACTGCGGCGGGAGAGATCCTTCAACAGCAAGCAATACGGAATGACTTGCCGGTCTGCTTCCAAGTGAGAGATCTTGTACTACACTACTAAAACGTTACAACACAAACGAGGCAGATAAGACCGGGGCGGGGATGGGACAGATTGAACTCCCCGGACCAGACTCCAATCGCCCGTAGTGGACGAGACAGGATTGCGAAGTGAGAAAATTTCCGGTCCAGCCATCCCTCCGACGATCCCGGTCCAGCTCTCCTTGTAGCGATCAAGCCGTCCCTTCAACGACATTGGTGCAGTCCTCCATTCGACCTTCTCATTCCTGGATTCTCGCCCCTGCTGGTTTCCTCTCCACATTCCCTCCATATTTACCATGAATGGCTGTCGTGACGCAGGCCTGCCCCAATCCACGTGAGTTTCCCTCTGTATAAAATTATTCAGTAACCTTGTTGATGGCTGTGGTTCCTAATGATGAGCATAACAATAGACTGAGGGCGAATGTTCATGAAGATTTCGGCATTATATAGTGTTTTTTTTTTTGGTGCCATATCCCATGTATGCCCCTATTAGGACGTGCCGATGAAATTCGGTTTTTATTTATTGGCACATATCACATACTCCAGAGACATTTATGCTGAATCAACCAAGCTCTGACCCAGATACCTCCCAAATGATTTCCCTAGCAGTGGCTGGAATCGTTAATTAATAGATCAGGAAATTCGTGAGTGATTTCGTCATGGTTGTATTTATTTCCGCCATTTCCATCCAGGGTGAATTATTCAAAAGAACAAAAAGAAACACGAAAATACTCGAACTCCATGAAAGCCCTCGAGGGTTGGGATCTTTATCTGATCTAAAACTGAAGCGAACGCGCGAGATCGGTCCGTGTGACTCTCGTTTCAACCAGACCCCTGAACCTTTTAGGAGTTTTTGGCGTCCTGTGCGTTGGCGGCTTTTCAGTGAAACCAGTGGAAATGATATTGAATAATATTGATTGTAATATCAGTGGAAGTTAATACTTTACTAAAATGCTGAAATAAATTAGGAAACAAGAACTATAATTATGTGCATAATTATTACTGAGTTTATGTTCTTACTAAACTGTAAACAAGTATATAATATAATTTTTGTTGGAAATAATGGTGCACTTGATTAGATTGACAAGAACAAAAAATTTACATTCAATCTGTAGCGGTATTATTATGGCCAATACTGAATATTTATTTGTTGGACAAACACTCAGGCCTACTCCAATCTTGTCCCATTCGCATCCAAGGAATTTTTGGGTCTATTTGATCTAATATTCTGCTGCTTCAACCTTAGGTGCGAGGCCTTTCGGCCTACTTATTTATTTGTTGGACAAACACTCAGGCCTACTCCAATCTTGTCCCATTCGCATCCAAGGAATTTTTGGGTCTATTTGATCTAATATTCTGCTGCTTCAACCTTAGGTGCGAGGCCTTTCGGCCTACGCCTTTCTAGGTCATAGGCGGGGTGGAAGGACATGGGTTGGAGCTTGCCAGAATTCTTGCGGATGGGAATGGGTTGCAAATTTTTTTTTTCTTTCAGGGAAACGGGAAGGAAGATTTTCCCTGGACATTGAGATTTAGTGTGGCTATACCCGATCAACTTAAGCACCCTAACGCCAAGGCCATTTCTATACAGCCATTTCCTTTAAAAAGGTGACGTTAAACCCTATCAGCTGCATTTACGCAATACTGCTTTTTCTCGTGTACATCTGTGTGTACTCTTAGAAATAGTTTGAGAAAGGGTCTTCATTTGAGTCCTTCTGCCTAGATATAGATATGAATGTAACGACGAAATTCCCCGTATTTTCAACATGGTCTACACATATTTATTGCAATGAAATGCTGCAGTATTGAGTATATGCTTTGAAAATAAGAAAATTGTGCTAACGATAGACAGGAATTAAAATCACCAAACACTGAACGACGCACTGTGAATGTTTACCGGTGATCCCCATGCTGGATTTCATATTACGTCAATATGAATATTTTCTTTTAAAAAATGTTGGTGTGGCCGTTGAAGGTGTGAGAATCGCCAAATCCATTAATTTAGCCGCATGATATCATGGTTTGCTTCAAAAATTGAAGCTTTAAATGCAGTAATTTTCTTTATCGATTATGGAGCACCGAAGGTGCGTCCAAAGCAAGTTAGTTCGCCCGAAAGGCAAACAAACTCGTTAGTATAACATATGCACTCAATGGGGAAGAACCTTGAGCGACCATCCATCGAATTTTGAATCAATTGTTCTTTCACTCGATGGGGAGGATCCATCCACCCCTCTCGGCTGAGGTTCCCCCTCGGCCTTCTCGTGCGTCGTCATTGAATGTCTGCACGGGGAGAATGTGGAACCTGCCTCATTGTCGTTCGAGGTAGAACCTGAAGGCATGATGGCATCGGCTCAAGGTTGCGGATGAAATGCGGGGCATGCCCTAGGAATTCCACTCTTCTTTCATGTATCTGTGGTGAATACATATTGCTGAGCAGTAAAATAGACCGCCGTACGTGACTTTTATTTGCCGTGGTTGTTGCAGTGGACATTGAGGACGGTCTCTGGAGGCCGCGGCTACGGGTGGAAAACGTTTAAAGAGAAAAGGTACGCCGAGGTTCTCCGCTAATGTTCCAACGAAAGTAGGGAAACGTACTCCATTTTCTTTTCTTAAAATGATTTTTTTTTAATGTGTATGATTTGATGCACGTTTCCTTCTGCAAATGCGTAATGGCAGGCGTGATGACGAAAAGAGCGGTATTCGACAAACTCTTGTAAAAAATTTAGGCAAGCAACAACGTCTCAAAAATAGTCGAAAGGATCGTATTACCTCCTTAGCATTGTGATAGTTATGACATTGTAAGTATTTCTTATATATTGTACATATCAGCAATTGCTTAACCGAAACATTACAACCCTCTGGAAGAAATTCTGCTTGCAGGGAAATTCATCTGCAGCGGCATTAGCTGTTTTGCGTTATGGAGTTAATCTTAAAGTGTAACGTAGAAGTCACCAGTGTACATCAGCGGCTCTGCAGTTTAGGCATTTGCGTCATTTCCCCATTCTCGGATGAGCTCCATGCAAATTGTATGGCGCACGTCTGTGCACCTCGTGGAGCCCATGTTTGTGACAAGCATATCAGTCTCTAAGATGTGTCTGAAAGTTTCATTCACATAATGCAGAGAGGAGGCCATCGTCTTTGGGGTAGCTGTGCCACGAGGATGTGAATGTGAACGCACCGAAATGCACCGGTGGACAGGTGAAAACGTTAAGCCTAACTGTTAGACTTATGCTCATTGTTAGACTAAGGACTGACAGAGAAGTACCGGGCCCGACATTGGGCCTCTTGTGCATCCTTTTCCCTCATGGTGGAGTTCCATAATTCTGGTCTTGAGCCAGAATATAATAATCCTATAACTTATGGCATTTCACAGAAGTGAATATCCTCCTATGTGTTTTTCAATTTGTGGTGGGGAGAGGCTNTGCGTAATGGCAGGCGTGATGACGAAAAGAGCGGTATTCGACAAACTCTTGTAAAAAATTTAGGCAAGCAACAACGTCTCAAAAATAGTCGAAAGGATCGTATTACCTCCTTAGCATTGTGATAGTTATGACATTGTAAGTATTTCTTATATATTGTACATATCAGCAATTGCTTAACCGAAACATTACAACCCTCTGGAAGAAATTCTGCTTGCAGGGAAATTCATCTGCAGCGGCATTAGCTGTTTTGCGTTATGGAGTTAATCTTAAAGTGTAACGTAGAAGTCACCAGTGTACATCAGCGGCTCTGCAGTTTAGGCATTTGCGTCATTTCCCCATTCTCGGATGAGCTCCATGCAAATTGTATGGCGCACGTCTGTGCACCTCGTGGAGCCCATGTTTGTGACAAGCATATCAGTCTCTAAGATGTGTCTGAAAGTTTCATTCACATAATGCAGAGAGGAGGCCATCGTCTTTGGGGTAGCTGTGCCACGAGGATGTGAATGTGAACGCACCGAAATGCACCGGTGGACAGGTGAAAACGTTAAGCCTAACTGTTAGACTTATGCTCATTGTTAGACTAAGGACTGACAGAGAAGTACCGGGCCCGACATTGGGCCTCTTGTGCATCCTTTTCCCTCATGGTGGAGTTCCATAATTCTGGTCTTGAGCCAGAATATAATAATCCTATAACTTATGGCATTTCACAGAAGTGAATATCCTCCTATGTGTTTTTCAATTTGTGGTGGGGAGAGGCTTATGAAATTCGTCCAGGGTACTATAGACTTTTACAAGAAAAAACTGGATTGATACAGACATATTCTTGCGAGTATGCAACTTGGACGAGGATGGTCCGAGAGCCTTGAGTTCTTATTGTGTTAGATCCCGCATAATCCCTTAGCCCTAGATGGGTTCTCTTCATCATTTCGCATAAGCAAACTTATAAGCGATCGAACTCCGCATGAGTGTGTGTTTCCCTGTGGGTCCCCGACGGTGAATAATTCGCTTTGAATTTGGCAGTTCTTTTTTTAAATTTTCTTGAAATAGCCTGTTCCGCACAGCTTTGCACCTTAGTCTTTCACGGGAAAGTGGATCGAAAGCCAAGTCAAGGAAGCTCGTGTCTGTTTCAGTAAAGCCAGTTTTTAGATGAGTAATCTCTGCAAATGCCATTTTTTATGTTGGAGGCATTGACATGGACGATCAGAAAAAGGTTTCTTGGACATTAGAGACCGCGGGAATCCAGATCGTTTTGGATGGGCGACCACAAAATATAGTCGAGTAGGGATCTGTGAAATAGACATAAATGACAATTTTTTCTCCCGTAACGTGGGTCTGCTGTAAATGTGAAGCACCTGCAAACCATGGCAACTGTGGGAAGACGCCAGACAGGTCATTTCCCTGCCGGCTAGATTAAAAAAAAAACACCAATACCATTGGTAACTTGAAAATTGCAAATTCAGTTAGTAGAAAAAAAGAGTAAAATTTGAACCATATGCTTTACTTCAAACATTAGCAAATTAAAATGTGAAACTTCGGCTATACTGGTTATTTCCTTTCATATTTTCTTATTTCAGACAATTTTCCTGCTTGAATGAAATCACCTATGGGAAATTTTGAATGATAATGGGAGAGTTGATAATCAAATACATTTATTCCGTTGCATGAAATCACCTAATGAAATCTGCACCTAAATTCATTTAATAAAATAAGTTAATGGAATCAATTCATGAAATCAGTCTAAATTTTTGTTCGACCATCTGGACATGATTATCATTGTTTTGTTCGGGCAGAGAGACATCATGGGTAACGAGGAACGAGTCACTGAGGGAGTCGACGCGTCTCCCTGCAAGGAAGGCCCTCGAAATCTCCTATTCCGATGTCCACTACTGTGTCCCTGACGAAGAAAATGGTACGAACAAATTCATGTTCGTGGTTTGGATGATTTCATGTCGTTTCCGGGGGGAGACGAAAGCTCTAGACAGGAATGCTGTGGTGCAGGGATGAAGGAGATCCTGAAGGGTCTGGACGGGCGGATGAAGTCCGGAGAACTGACGGCCGTCATGGGACCGAGCGGATCGGGGAAGAGCAGCCTCATGAACATTCTCGCCGGATATAGGTCGCCTTATTTATACCACATTACGCAATCAAATTATTAATGAGTTCCTACCAACTGCATCTAGACCGATCCAATTGGTGGACTGGCGTGTTCATCCCAATTTAGTAATCCCAAATTAGCAACATTACCCTAGTAGCATATAACATTGAATTAACATTGATTCAACGTTGGTTAAACTTCCGGATGTTGAATCAACATTGTACCAATGTTGTTTCCATATTATGTGCTATTAGGGTAGAAGCATCGATTTATGTCCTCCTGGTGTGGTAGTTTCTAAACGCAATGTGGTATGATCTTCTGTCGCTCTGGAAAGACTGATAGCGCTTCTACATTTATAATCATAGAATTTCCGTGCAAAATATTTTTATCTCACAATACTTATCCTTAGACGAATCGTTTTATGTTCCACTTGAGCAATGTACATGACAAAATAACGAGCAATATTCTAATGCGCAGCAATGCTGTCTGTGTTAGCCAAATATGTCACAAACTCTCATGGTAAGCATGGAGTTGCTCATTGTAAATATTTTGGCACGTAAATATATGTGGGTACCTCCTTATGGAAGGGTAAAAGCAGTAAGACGGGATGAAGAGCTTTCATAAGGTAAAGGAATTAGGGAAACCTGCCGTTCTCCCTGAATGTAAATATGAGTATAAAAAAATTTAGCAGAACGTAAGTCCCCCTGCAAATTGCCCTAATGTCCTCCACCGCCCTCTTAGAAGTTTTCTTCCGCAGCGCTCCATTTCGCTCTTGCAACTTTATTAGCAGCCATTTTTGCACGAGAATTGTTAGGGAGTTTGCAATTTAAAGGTGAAACTTTAAAAAGTTCCATCTTAAATCTGTTGCATATTTCACCTCTATTCATAAAAAGGTTGGCGCTCTGGTGCTGGAGTGAGAAGGCTGAGCCCCTTCCCTCTCTGGCACCAAAGCGGCGCGATGCCCCTTTCAGGGAACGATAGAAGCTGATTAAGATCCATTTTTCCCCTTACGAAAAAATCCTATAGGATCCTATAGGATTTTTCAAACATAAAAATCGTATAAGATTCCTATAGGATCCTAAAATAACCCTATAGGATTCCTATAAGAATCTAATAAGATTTTCATTGTTCAAAAATCTTATAGGATCCTATAGGATTTTTCCGTAACGGCCACCACGTCATGTTTAAAGGAAATTCAATTTAATTGCTCCCCTTTAATATTCCCCCCTTATAGTGTCGCCACTTCCCAACCAACCGAGTGAAGATTTATTCCCTCAAAATACATTCTATATACAATATGCATCTAAGTTCAATTTAGGGTGGCGATGGGATCTAAAGGCACTAAAGGTTATTTGACAGTAAGTGACCAAAAACCATAACTGGTGAATTAGAAAAATCAAGACTCACTCAGGTAGTGCAGATATTTGTGGATAAGTCCTTTCACTTCTGGTAGTCACTCCTGATAGTTCAGAGTATGTAGATAAAATCAATATAACTAAAAATAGCACGACATAGGGAGATTAAATTTAGAATGTATTAACTCCTCAGTTAAATCCATTAGCCCATTCCAAGTCGGGTTTCCGAGTTGGATGGTTCCGAGTTGGATGGGTTAATTTACATTCCATCCTATCAAATTTATAAAAGACAACTATATAGTTGAGGAGTCTCCAACCTTGAAGAGGGTGGGGGGCGAGTGGTAAGACAAAACTGACGAGTCAGCCTAGCCGCTCCAGCTAAGACTTTTTGGGAATAACACCCTATAACCCCACATATGTCCCTTTTAAAACCACTAATTTTTTTTTTCATTGACTGGGGGGGGGGATAAGCCTTCTGGAGTGTTCGAGGAGGAAACGAACCCATAGGTGTATGAAAAAAGTAGGTGTCTGTCTTCCTGCACTGACCTTTCCATCTTCACTTACCTGCTCTTTCTTTGGAAGTGTACAAAGCGGTGGTCTCGACGATGTACCCTCAGGAGGACCAAGTGATTCCTACGCTTACAGTAATGGAATCAATGCTCTTTGCCGGACCGGATTTTGAGGGCTCGAGGAACAGAAAGTTTCTGTTTATGAGAAGACATGCAACAAAGGTAAGACCAAAAAGATAGTAGGGACATACTGAGAGACCACTTCGAATAAGTGTGTACGCGTGAATATAATAAGATCATGAGATCACTCCACATCATACCCCTTTTTTTCCGAAATGTTTCATCATTCTTTTCTATACGAGGTATATCTGCTGAACAACAAATTAACGTTTCCGTGACCCGTGGCAATGAAACTTCTCACCGCATGACTATTGGAGAATATTGGCGTTGGGAATCCCGCTTCCCACCAATGCCAGTAAGGAATCGCTCTTCCCAAATAAATTAAGAACTAGCGGCCTGCGGCCGCTACGCTGGCCGTCTAACAAGTGGAAATTTGAACTGTCTATTGTGAGCATAACGTCTTCTTGACAATCCTCTGTTATTGGCATTACCCATTCGGAACTGAACCGCTTCATTCCATTTACACACATATATGATATTCCAGCCGATTGCCACAATCGGTTTAGCACGTTTTCATGAGACGACTGAAGATGGCTTTGCTGATTTTGCCTCCCTACCACATTCAATACTCTTGCATCACCGATTAGCTCATGTGCTATTAGCGTTAGCATATAGTACAGACACCAATGATTCTGAAACAGGTATGGACCATTTCCAAGAACTTGTTCGAGGGCACAAAGAGAATTTAGCACATGTGCGGCACAATGCTAGCGACTAATTCCAGAAAATGCCTCGCCACCACATTACCCTGAGGCTCTGAATGTGTTGCTCACTGGTGCTAAAGTGTGAGTTGCAGCAGGAGCACTTTTCCGCCTCCTCCCTACATCAAAAGGCATAGTCTGACAATGCCCGCTGCGCAAATGACTGGAGTGATTTGAGATGACATGGAGAGGCCTGACAAAATGTCTCGAATTCCGTGGTGTAAGGGTAGCACAAATGAACAGCAAGCAGGAGGACCGAGTTCAATTTCTGGTCGCCCCCTGGCTGTCGACACCTGAGTGTTGCGTTCCTTGCATCAAGTTGCCCAGCAGGCTGCACGGCTCTCCTTTTCCTGAGCTCAGCAATAACTGCCTCTTGCTGTTCAGCCTTACGCTCCCAACGTGCAACAGGGTACTGTCCATAATTCATGCCAGCACCTCCTGAAGCACCGATTTAGGTACTTAGCACCGCAACTGCAGTAGCAAACCTTGTTTCCGCGCCAGCACCAATCGTTTATTATCTGCAGCGACTGCCTCATCGCCGTCCTGTGGGACCTTTTTCAACATTTATTTTCATATTCAACCTCAGATCTCAAAAATCGCCACCATTTTGATGGGAAGAGCGGCCCGTTTGCGCGACGTATGAAACAGAGAACTTTCATTATTTTGCTTTCATGAAACACAAACTATTACCTGGAAGTGATGTCCCGAACCATGCCTGACCTAACGGAAAAAATAAATAAAAAACTTTTATTGACACAGCTAAGTATGAATCCTATGCCTCAGACTGTTATAGCTCAATGGACCTGGCGGTAAAAGCGCTGGATGGACTAGCCTCAAGACCTGGCGCTTTGAGGGGTGGTTGGCCTAGCCTATGGCATGAAGTGACATAGTCTCGTAGGTCTCGCGCGCTGGGGTAACTAACACCACATCTCTCGGGTTTTCAAATTAAAGTATCAATGATGGCTTGGAAAAACGAAGCCTTGTGGGCCTAGTGCTCCCGGTCGTGGATGGCCTGGCCTATAACCCAGAATGGTATTGTATCTTAGGCCCGCACGTGGGGGTGACAGCCCCGACCACGACTGCCGCCGCCACAACTTTTGACTTCGTCGAGTTAAAGTATTAGATGATTTGATTTCCAATAAATAATAGAAGGGCTCTCGTGTTTCTCTGTAATTTATTTGATAGGAATCGAAAACCAGACTGATGGGCCAACTTTCCAAGCACAAATTGTATTCGGAAGCGTGGAAATAAATTCAAATGAGAGGTATTTATTTCTTTATTATAGATTAATCAAAGAAGCTTCTCATAGTCTTACTATGGGATATTAATGTAGAATTGTTGCATTGAGAAAATGCGGCTAAAATTTTTTTATATCGCTCCCATCTTTGCCACTATTTAAATTTTAACACGTTGACGACCAGCCTATTTTTGCTTGTCCGCCGCGTGGGACCACGTTTTTTTGTGGAGAATTGAATGGCCTACACAGTGATATCATCATTTTTAAGTTTTGGCCAAATGCTTGGGAGAAATGATCTTTCCAAAATGGTTCACTTTTTTTTGGCCCACCCTGTATATACAATATGCACCTAAGTTCAAATTAGGGTGGCGATGGGATTTAAAGGTACTAAAGGTTATTTGACAGTAAATGACCAAAAACCATAACAGGTGAATTAGAAAAATCAAGACTCACTCAGGTAGTGCAGATATTTGTGGATAAGTCCTTTCACTTCTGGTAGTCACTCCTGACAGTTCAGAGTATATAGATAAAATCAATATAACTCAAAATAGCACGACATAGGGATATTAAATTTAGAATGTATTAACTCCTCAGTTAAATCCATCAGCCCATTCCAAGTCGGAGTTGGACGGGTTAATTTACATTCCATCCTATCAAATTTATAAAAGACAACTATATAGTTGAGGAGTCTCCAACCTTGAAGAGGGTGGGGGGCAAGTGGTAAGACAAAACTGACGAGTCAGCATAGCCGCTCCAGCTAAGACGTTTTTGGGAATAACACCCTATAACCCCACATATGTCCCTTTTAAAACCACTAATTTTTTTTTTCATTGACTGGGGGGGGGATAAGCCTTCTGGAGTCAAGCTCCTCCTTTGCTTGGGTATCCACATACTTTTTTCATCCACAGACAGAAGGACGTGACTGGAAAGGTAGAAGTGAATGGACGAGAAAGAAACCTTCACATGTTTCGCCACCAGAGCTGCTACATCCCTCAGGAGGACCAAGTGATTCCTACGCTTACAGTAATGGAATCAATGCTCTTTGCCGCTGGCCTAAAACTCCCGAGCTCCTTGTCTTTCAAAGACAAATACTCTTCTGTACGTTGTTTCCATTCTGGTTTTTCTATCATCCCTGTATGACTCTCTGGTGAAGCTTATTCACACATGCGCACTTAGTAATAAGATCATGAGATCACTCCACATCATACCCCTATTTTCAGAAATCTTTTTTATCATTCTTTTCTATACGAGTTGTATCTGTTGAACAACAAATTAACGTTTCTGTGACTCGTGGCAATGAAACTTCTCACCGCATAACTATTGGAGAATATTAGCGTTGGGAATCCCGCTTCCCACCAATGCCAGTAAGGAATCGCTCTTCCCAAATAAATTAAGAATGATTTGATTTCCAATAAATAATAGAAGGGCTCTCGTGTTTCTCTGTAATTTATTTGATAGGAATAGAAAACCAGACTGATGGGCCAACTTTCCAAACACAAATTGTATTCGGAAGCGTGGAAATAAATTAAAATAAGAGGTATTCATTTTTTTATTATGGATTAATCAAAGAAGCATCTCAGTCTTACTATGGGATATTAATGTAGAATTGTTGCATTGAGAAAATGCGGCTAAAAATTTTTTTATATCGCTCCCATCTTTGCCATTATTTAAATTTTAAGATCAAGGAAATAGAAATTGTTGATTGCAGGTCGTGGAGATCCTGCAGCATTTAGGGATGCAGGACTGTGCGAGGACAAGGGCATCGTTTCTGTCGGGTGGACAGAGGAAGCGACTTTGCATCGCCCTCGAGCTTCTTGCCGATCCCCCTATCCTCTTCCTCGACGAACCCACCAGGTAGGCCGAAATAGGCACATGTGTCCTAATCCTTTGGATATTATATTCAGGGTGGATGTGATTTGTCGTTTCGGCAAAGATTAACTTTCAGCAAAAAGGCAAATAAATTAATTTGCTATGGAATGACCTTTTACCGAAAAAAAAAGTTCAAGAATCACTTTCACTCATATGGGGTATGCAGAGCTTGGCATTCATTAGGAAGAAGAAGAATCGGGTGTCAGTGCCATCCAGTCTCTCTACGAAGAGATCACAGCCCCACTACAACTACAGTTTCATATCTTCGTTTCGTTAGAAGCTCTAAAATATATACTTACTTGAGTAACTTTTTTGTTGCTTTAGCTTATTAAGACTAGTCAATGAATGCGAGATTTCCAAACAGCAAGTATAAAAACAAAGATCACAAAGTGACGGAGAGAGAAAACTAATTTGAGTTCGGTTTTGAGTCTCAAACTGTACACCTCTTTAATACCGCGTCTTAGTAACTTGACCAAGATATGAGAACCTGAATTATGAAAACCTCTTCATGGAAAAGCTGATTCACGCATTGCTTTATTATGACTACTGATTTGGTGAATTTCTCGATTTGGAAAATAGCTGATTCCATAAAAGCATATTTCTCTTCGTTTTCTTCGAAGACAAAACGCTGAAGGACCTTACATTGTGACCTCTTCTTTGCATTGGCTCTTGTTTACATGCTTTTCGCAATTACTTGCAATTGGTGATGTAGTGGACTAGACAGCTCTACTTGTCTACAATGCGTGACCCTGCTGAGAATGTTGGCGCGCGAGGGCCGAACCGTGATCTGCACTGTCCACCACCCCAGCGTGAAGATCCTGGAGATGTTCGATCATCTGATTCTCCTCGCGCTACCGGCGACAGAAATGTTGCCGTGGTAGAGGAGCGACCACGGAATGAAAGCGGTCAAGCTGGAAGTAACGGGAGGCATAGTGTTAGGTCGTCTGAAACCATACGTGGAAAAATAGTACCCGGCTTGTGGGAAAAATGGAATGACATTTTTTGTTAAATTGATTTTAAATCCATATTAATGCATGAAATGCATTTTTTGTGCCAAAAACCACGGCTTGATTAGGAATTTTTTTATCGTTAAGTCATGATTTGGAGAATCATATCGCATTCGCTAAATAAGCATGTCATCAGGTATCCATTAAGCCGGAAATGCTAATTACGCAATTTGCAAATCTGGCGCAATATCTATCGCCGTAATTTCGAGAACAACCGATGCAGCTGTTTTTGCCGAACGTTATTTTCACAATTAAATGATTTTCCTAACCAATTGCATAGGTGTTACGCAATGATTTTGCGATGATTGCTATGAGTGACTTGTCCACCTACTTCCATGCATCTCCTCCTAGCCGTCCCTACGCCCTTCCAGCTCGGATTCTTTGGGAGCTACTTTCCTCATGCGAGTAGTCACGAAATGAAAATATTACCCTTGCTTACCTTGAGGACTCACTCTGCTACAGGCAAGATGAAGCAAAAATGGGTCAATCCTCGGCTTTCGTGCAGTAGATCTAGAGATGCAAAACTTCCTATTACCGCCTTTCCTCCCGTTAAGCCGCTTCGGAACTTGATGCCGACAGACTGTCACGCGTTGTAGCCCATCCCTCAACTAGACCTTTTTCCTTGGATATTCGAAGGTGCCTCTGCATAACGTCTTTCTCAGCAGTTATGATGTTCAATGAACAGATCCAATAACCCAGGTTCAATTGCATACGAAGACGGAATACGGGGGATCGTCTAAATATATTTCATTTACCAATGGGATGCAGTGGTAGAAGT